AACGAATTCCACAGTCTGACCGCGTGCACAGTAAAGGAGTGAGAATAGAAATTGGTTTTGTGGGAAGGGAATAACAAAACAGAACGTTGGTTGGACCTGCAGGGAGCATCAGGAGAACGAATGAAAGAGAATCGCTCACGTAAATATAAGGGAGAAGTGGGCTTATGTAGGATATTGAATAGGAGACATAATATTCGAGTATTCCTACGAAGGCGTATAGGGAGCCATTTAAGTTCTTTGCGAAAATGAGAAACATGATCGAATTTTCTGAGATTGTATATAAAACGGATACATAGATTTTGCATCCTCTCAAGCTTGTTTGAGAGCTCCTCAGTGGCATCCAAGTAGCAGGCATCGGCGTAATCAATTATGGGTAGAATGAGAGCTTGGACGAGAGATATTTTTGTATGCTGAGGTAAGAAGCCCTGCAGACATCTCAACGAGTGCAAGGCGAAGTGCACCTTCCTACTAATCTCAGTAACGTGAGAACTCCACGAAAGATGTCGATCTATAATAACACCCAGGTTTTTAACTGAATCTAATAATCTAATAAGAGATTTAAAAAAAAATCAATCAAATTTTCTAAAAAAATGTAGGTATGTATAATTTTTTTTTACAAGCACAGCACTCAAAACTATTCTATTTTGAATTAAGAGAAAAACATGATGTTGTCGAGTCCATGGGTGTCAATGATACTGAAGGTTAGACTGGGTGCTGACCACAGATTGGTTGGTGCGTTACCTACAATTAGGGCTCTGTCATAATTTAGTATTCTATTCATTTTGACGGAGGAAATGCTCTTTATTAAGTGTGCTTATATTATAAAGACCGTGTGTATTATTTAAGGTGATAATGACAAAGACTAAACTAACCCCGCTACACTCTTTATTAGTATTGTTTGTGAAGTATTTCATATCCAACATCCACCGGGAAGATGAACCCCGAATTAGCACGTTGATTTATGGACCATTTTTGAGGGACTTTTAGCCAGTGCGTATGAGATCTTTTAGAGGCAAAATTTGTCTTTTTTAGAGTGCGTATGAGACCTGATAGGCCTTACAAAAGTCCGTTTTCAATATACCCATATTAATGGACATGTGGACATCGTCGCTTCCCACACTGAACGTAAGGATGCGGTTTTGACTCCCGCATCATAGTATAGGGCTTTTAAAACCACATAAAGCAGTCAACATGTAAACAAATTGCTGAGTTTAAGTCATTTTTTATTCCATTTTGGAGAGCAATGAAATTAAATCGTGTCCGATATCTATAAATGTAAATTTTAAACTAAACGATATAGTTAGCCCAATTCTACAGGGCCGAAAATGATATCTTAGCCGTTTGCGACTACAAAAACTCTTAAGTAGTCAAATCGTTGGAAGTATTAAGCGTAAGAATGTACAGTAAAATTGGTATTAATTATACCACCATCCATCTTACAGATCAAGTTTAAGTGCAGCGATGAGCGAAGTGGATGATTACAATGATGAAGATGCTGCTGCTTATCTTGGGGTTAGACATGGGGTTATGTCATAATTTTAGTTCTACAACAATTTTTTTATTGCCATTGTAGGCAGATTAGCATACGGTCCACCTGATGGTGAGTGGTTACCGTCGCCCACGGGCTTCAGCAATGCCAGGAGCAGAGCCAAGCTACTGCTATCAATGCAGTTCTCTCATCTATTCTTTACATATCCAGTATTTATTAATTGTTATTAATTGCTATCTTTCACAAACATGTGTGGTGTTATTCACCTCGGAAAAAAATTTGGGATTTTTTTATATGACATACCTATTCTTTATAGGTTTTATTACAAAATTCTAAGAAAAAATCACAATATGTAATTTTCAAAATGCAACCACGCAACTAAACCTATACATTAAAAAATGACACAATAAGTAAACAAAAACCGTACAGTTTCCAAGTACCGCGCTAACCTGAAGTGAATGCCCCAAGCCATACCTTTGTGCGACTATTTTCTCTATTTTACAGTGGTACTAAAAATAACTCTAAACATCTTCAAGTTAGGAACTAAAAGACTGGTTCAGGAGATAGATTGCGTCGGTTATTGCAGACTGGCGCCTCGAGTTACCCTTACTATTTGTTGTCACGATGTTTTCGAATCGACATGAGTGCGTTAAAGATTTTGAATTCATGTCTCGAGTAGATTTCATTTAAAATAAAGGAAGCTGACTATACGCATACTTCAGAACTACTACAAAACTTGTATTTTTTTTTATTGCCCTTGTAGGCAGACGAGCATACGGCCCACCTGATGGTGAGTGGTTACCGTCGCCCATGGACTTCAGGGGCAGAGCCAAATCGCTGCCTACAAAGCCTTGTATTGAATTCATGGGAGCTCAAATAATTTATTAAGGAACGAAGCCTTCGTCATATTCTACTCCGCTAACTATGAACTCCTGAATGAGCAGATCATTTACTCCAAGAAAAAGAGTGTAAGTGAAATAAAATAGTTTCAAATTAACGGAATGAAGTTTTTAAAATATTTCGCCAAAGACTGTTTTTTTTTTGAAGTTAAAAACTTGACAAGCTGTCAATGTGACAAGTAACTGACGGGTGTCAAATTCAGTGATAAGCCAACGATCTGTCGGTAAAAGCTTTGTTATGATCTTCGTATAGTGGGTCAGCGTTCCAGTTTTAGAACTATCACTTTTACTCAGGATCCAGACTGCTTATTATATGGTAATTTAAGTTGTTATTTTTTTGTGGGTCTGCATCGATTGTAATTCGTATGATTGTTGTCTTAGGATTTGGTTTCTCCGTGGGTTATTGATGAGCGTTTTGAACTGAACTTTCATTGAAATTTCAATTAGGTTAGCCTAAAAATACTTTCTTATGAATGCCAATGTTTCGTTAGATTACCTCTACTACAGCCGCTGGTACTACAATTACTTTTTGCGAATCCTGAAAGCTTCCGTAGACTAAATGTATGATGCGTCCGATGTACTTAAGCCTGTTATAAATCTTCTAAGTATTCAATGATATTTACGTGCGGCTTCTAAGACATTATAGCTTTTAATTTTTTCCCTGAAGATACATTTAGATCGAAATGATTGATTTCGCGACGATGATAGGTAGATTCTTAGGCCCGATTTGCTCCTGTTACTATTGTGTCAAAGAAAATATTATTTTCTATGAAATAGTAAGGGCAAAGTTACAGGTAAAATACACTTGTTTAATTATAAACAGCAATGATAGATGCTGTTTGAAGTGAAAAGCTACGTTAATTATCTGATCGGCGGCTTAGTGAAAGGCTGGTAATCACGCGGATAATTCTATAAAATTCTACGGACTCCGAAGTGCGTAATGCAAATTTGATCTTATGTTAGGTGTTTTTAATCACATTATTTAATACAACGGTGAGAAGTTTGGTGCAACATTACTGAGGGGAATAAAGAAAGAAAATACGATTTAAATTTATATTACAATCATTTTTAGAAACGAAAACTGTTAGTACTTCATAGAATGCGTTAGGAAAAAAAAACCTTTACTGTTTTTGCACACGCAATGCAATACAAATAATATTGCTCCACAAAAGAAAATATAATGTAAAGGTATATGTAGTATCTGCAGTTTAGTATATTGTTTTAGTCTATACTAGAGTGGTGGATAATTGGGGTTTTGCTTAGAACTTTTACTGGTGGTAGTTTTGTTTAGTAACTTTTACTGGTGGTAGGACTTCTTGTGAGTCCGCACAGGTAGGTACCACCACTCGGCCTATTTCCGCCGTGAAGCAGTAATGCGTTTCGGTTTGAAGGGTGGGGCGGCCGTTCTAACTATACTTCAGACCTTAGAACTGATATCTCAAGGTGGGTGGCGCATTTACGTCATATATATCTATGGGCTCCAGTAACCGCGTAATACCAGGTGGGCTGTGAGTTTGTCCACCCATCTAAGCAATAAAAAAAAGAAAAATAAAGTGAAACACTTTTTTATGTGTTCTTCGTGATTCAATGTTATTGCGATTATAGTTAGATCTGATATCAGACAGACATCATTGTGAAACATATCTGTGATCACGACGAAAAAATTACTGGTCAATTCTCTCTGTCCTATTTGTGTTACAACTGATAGATAGATAGATAGTGAACATTCGTGAGCATCTGTGAGCACTCTTTAATACTCTACTTTTTAAGGTGTTATCAAACTAGCGGACCTGGTGAACAAACTAAAAAAATGTGGCTTTTAGTGTTGTACTACATGCTTTGACTAAATTTTGTTACCGTTATTTTAAATATAAGTAACATATGATGTATGCTATGCTATAACGTATGATGTAATTATATAATACTAAAGGTCCCGCAGTAGTCGAAATTCGACTATAATTAATTGGAATTGTAAGTTTGTACACTATTATGATTGTATTTTATACTTCTATAATCACAAATTTCGCCAAAGCTACACTATAAAAAAATATTAATACAGACAAACAATATTTAATCTATTCTCAATTTGACAACAGACGTCAAAAACAAAAGTTTGACAATAACTAGTATGCATGCGTGTGTACGTCAAATATATGGTATGTAGTGTGTGTAATGTTTTCTTTATTGATTTAATGTATCTTTTATGCATTATTTTAAAAAAATATTATAATTGTGCACTTCTTCTCTATATTCTCTATAAGTATGGAAAATTTCATACTCCTCCGTCCGCGCAATTTTCGTAGAAAGGGATACAAAGTTTTTGCTTCACGTATTAATTATATAATATTCTGTGCTCTTTTCAATTAGGAATAATATTATCTGTGCCGCCACCGATGATACGTGACGTCACACAATAAATCCGTACCCAAGCATAAAGACTGTTCTGTTAAGCAGAACCTTCAATTTTTTTTCCACTTAAGGCAACTCCTTTTTCATTCCAAGAATACCCCACTCTTTTAATGGTTTTATTAAACTGCCGTGTCTGAGCGTGCTGTGCTCTGTGAATTCGTACGTTGTCCGCGCAGTGCTGTAAGGTTCTTTGCTATGAGCGGTCAGTCGCGATCTTTTTTTGTTAGTGTAAATGTGCCTTAAGTTAATAATAGTAAAAAATATTTTTTTTTTTTCGCTAACCCAAAATAATGGTTCAGAAAATCGCCCCGAAAATCGGAAGCCGTGAGTATTGAAAATAAAAAAAATACGTTAATAAGAATTATTTTTTTAAAAATTCGCTCGCACTTATTAGGCCCTTTTTGAAGTCAACAGAGAATTGAACCTATAAGATAATAATAAAATTAATATTGATCTCTTTTAAAAAAAAATACAATCCCATTGGCGAATAATAATTTATATCACTCCCTTGCTTTTGAAGGGACAGCAATGCACTTAATAAATTTGAAACATCATCTGAAGCGAAAACCAAAAAAATTAACGCTTTTGAAGTCAAAACTTCTTTGAAGCTGATTTAAAACTGGACGAAACTTAAATGACACTATAAAAGCGACACTAAAAAGATAGTGTCAGTAAAGCATCTATTGATAGTAATTGTTTTTTTTTGTCTTGTGTCCGATGATTGTCTGTCTGTCTGTCAGGCAACCGAACTAACCTGTGTTATGTAAACAAACTGAAAACATTGTTCGCGTGTTGTTATCAATCGATTACACGCTACACAATGTACTTAGATGGAAAATTATGGGCTGCATAATAATACTAGGAACAATTTCTCTGATGATTTCTTTTGTTTTATGTAGCGAGAAAACACATGGCATTGTAAATAAGAATGATAATAACTGCGAACATCACGCACGGTCCTCCGACCCCAAGCTTGAATTTCAGAGACTGACATACATACTTATATGCGGTTAAATATATAGACTATATATATAGACTATAAACAGACAAAGAGCAAACAAACCTGTTCATCACACGAATGTTTGCCCGATGTAAGAATCGAACCCACGACTCTTGGCGCAAGAGTCAGAGGCGATAACCACTGTATCACCGAGCCAGTCAATTGTAATTAAGTTTATTGTAAAATAATATTAAGTGCACGACGAGAAAGCTTTCATATACGTCCCAATGTGTTTCCACCAGTCTCGTCGAGACATGAAGTCGAAATTTCGATCCCAACTTTCTATTGACCGTTGATTTGTAATTATATAAAAAAGGCACTAATTATAATATCACCTATTGTCCATTGCGTATTTGCAATACAATGCGCCACGCTTCTAGGGATCAACTTGCATTCAAAAATATATTTTAATAACCTCAGCTGGTCAAGGAATTCGTTGGTCATAATATTAAATCCTAGTAAAGTAAAAAAAAAACATTTTTTTTTCACGCAACGGATTCAATGCCCAGGTCACGCAAAATTATAAAAAAAAATTAAAAAACATAAACATTTCTTTCTTATTATTGGTCCAAAATCATTAAAAGAAAATTCTCGAACAGAAAATCCGAAAAGTGCAATGAGAAAGTGCCTGGCAGTCTTTTGTTTTATTCATTTTCTTAATTAGTACTTAAATTTATGTACGGCTTGCGTCTAAGATTTGAATAGAAAATTATCGTGAGTGATTCTGTCAATGTGAATACAAATTTAAGTGCTCGTGACCTATCGGATAAGTCACCCAGCTTATCCGTCTCGAGCAACCAAGCCGGTGTTCGGTTCTCGTAAGCAATTTTTTCAAAGCGGTCCCATCACTAGTGGCAACTAGTAGGCCGCGCTTATTGTAAACCTGCCTTGCCTTTTCCCGCTGCGAAATCGTCATTCATTCCAAGTTAAAAAGTGGGACTTCCACAATTAAATAAAATATAAATGTCTAATTTTGTAGTAGAATTCAGCACGTCTCCCAGGTCTTCAGATCGAAGGATCAATACCTATCGCTATCATACCCCGGGATTGCGGGCCCAGGGATGATATTTAGGGCACTAACCACTAAACGACTCCGCTGCACTCTCACCCAAGCTCCCGATCCCTCGAGGTTAGAATCGGGGCAGGATACCCCTGGTCGAAACTGCAACCAGACATCGCCGCTGATGGAGCTTTCGAGATAAAACAGAAGCTCTAAAACGTCAGCCGTCTCGGTAAGGGGCCAGTCAGACCGCTCAGGCGATGTTGATGGCGTCTTGGGATGCTTGGCTGAGTTGGAACCAGCCTTTCGGATAGGGACGCGATATACCACCAACCTCCTCATCGCTCCTGATCGTCCCGTGCACTTTATCAGGGGGATCATCTTACTTATCTCTTGCATGGGATTTACAATTCTTTCTTAGCACCAATAAAATTGAAACGACAATCTCAAAAATTTTAGTTTCACAGTTTCACCTACACCAATATGGCGCCTTAAAATATTTATTAGAGTCGATAATCATTATCAAACTTTCTTACGTGTATAACGATGGAAATATCAAACAAGATTTCCCCATCGAAAAGAACTTCAGCAAGAAAACTTAAATAGGGGTTAACAAACCGACAACTGGATCATGATGCAACACCATGCATTTCTTGCGGTAATTACGATTCTGGACTTTGCTTTTCAAAGTATAAGGCACAAAGTAAAAGTCCGTGGGAATTACATCAGCATTCGCACGAAAGGGGAGAGATGTTATAATTAAAATTCCCGACTTGTTTCTCGAATGGCGACTGTGCTCTCTCACGTACACGTGCAAATGAAAGTTTTGTTTTCAAATTTAATACATAGAAACTATTCTCTATTCATCGCTACCTTTATCGACTATCCTTGGCTCTGTGATGCGGCTAAGTCTTCATCTAAAGCAATTTATGTTTCACAGTTGAATATGATGATCTCTAAAAAAGAAACTAAGCGTGTAACATTGAAAGCCACAAAATCATCCTGGGTTATGGATACCAAGAATATAGGAAGCAAGACCCTTTTTTTTCGGACCGGGCTCTAACCTCCTACGAGGTCACGCGACTTGGGGGCGCGCGGGGTATGTGGGACTTGACGATCTGCTGATGTTAGACGGAGACCGTGGGCCCAAGGAATTTTAGGGCCCACCCACTAAACGACTCCTCTGCACTGTTACACCCGACGTCCGATCTCCGTCCGGGGTCAGAACCCGGTCAGAGTAGGGGATAGACCTGACCTAACCTAACGCGAATACCAAATATCTGACCATAAGTGACTCCGACTGGCAATTGAACTGGTTTTCGTAGTGTAGTCTGGTAACTAACGTATATTAAGAGTATGTATGTCTTATCGTAATGTCAAACCAACAGGAATTTTCTGACACTAAAATACATTAAATGTTAGACCACAGAGGTAATCGTGAGCCTTAGCAGCGCTACTCACGGTGTGATGGGCACAACCAATAAATAAAAAAAATACTATCTTCTGTTACAGCCATTCACAGAGGCATGGCAACCTCACTAGATGCCACCGAAGAGATGGCGGACTACGAAACCGCGCTGGATAAAGCAGGTATGCAATCAATAATATACATCTAAGTCGTCGCGGCCTAAAGGATAAGACGTCCGGTGCATTCGTGTTGAACGATGCACCGGTGTTCGAATCCCAGGCGGGTACCAATTTCTCTAATGAAATACGTACTCAACAAATGTTCACGTTTAACTTCCACGGTGAAGGAATAACATCGTGTAATAAAAATCAAACCCGCAAAATTATAATTTGCGTAATTACTGGTGGTAGGACCGCTTGTGAGTCCGCGCGGGTAGGTACCACCACCCTGCTTATTTCTGTCGTGAAGCAGTAATGCGTTTCGGTTTGAAGGGTGAAGCCGTTGTAAGTATACTTGAGACCTTAGAACTTATATCTCAAATTAGGTGGCGCATTTACATAATAGATGTCTATGGGCTCCAGTAACCACTTAACAACAGTTGGGCTGTGAGCTCGTCCACCCAATTTGTATGAATTTGTTCTTTTCTTTTCTTTAGTTTACATAATTTAGAGTTTGGAGTATTTATTTGAGCAATGTATTTAAATTGATAAAAATTATCATCTACTCCATAAAATTTCTTAAAATTTATTATTAAAAGTGCTTCTACGAATTAATCTTACGTATATTTTTGCTATATTATTTCCGACTTTTCGAATACTATACAGTTTTCGAAAGGTAAAATTACCTTTAAGTAGTTTTAATGAGGTAATAATTTAAAAAAACGTAAAACTAGTTTAAAAGCAGTGCTTAGAACTGACCAGTACTACTTTACTTATCGTATCAATAAGCCTTGATTTATTTAAGTAATTTATTTAGCTATTTAAGTGCTTCATTTATTTGAATTCAGTTTTATTGATAAATTTGATTTTTTTTTTATTACTTATATGGGTGGACGAGCTCACAGCCCACCTGGTATTAAGTGGTTACTGGAGCTCATAGACATCTTCAACGTAAACGCGCCACCCATCTCGAGATATAAGTTCTAAGGTCTCAAGTATAGTTACAACGGCTGTCCCACCCTTCAAACCGAAACGCATTACTGCTTCACGGCGGAAATAGGCGGAGTGGTGGTACCTACCCGTGCGGACTCACAAGAGCTCCTACCTCCACCAGTGATTACGCAAATTATAATTTTGCGGGTTTGATTTTTATTACACGATGTTATTCCTTCACCGTGGAAGTCAATCGTGAACATTTGTTGAGTACGTATTTCATTAGAAAAATTGGTACCCGCCTGCGGGATTCGAACATCGGTGCATTGCTCAACACGAATGCACCGGACGTCTTATCCTTTACGCCACGACGACTACTTGATGAAATGTTTCCAACAATTAAATAACTTTTTACGACCTATACGGTTTCAATTCAGTCTTTTCGTACAATTTATACTCAATCAAATTGAATTAACGATTATTCAATTGAAAAATTGCATTCAAAATTGCTTTCCGTCTAGTGTTTTGTAATTTGGTCTTTATTTAGACCATTAATTGAGTTTTCATTGAGCGTTTTAGACTCTAATGTTAGTTGTGTTATTGTATATTACTTTTAGTGGCCTTTGAAAGCAGACGATTGAACTGCCCTCTTGACTGAAAATTGTCCCTGTTGCCATATTTTCAAACCTCGTTTGCAGATGGAAAAGTCTTAGCGCATAGCTAACAGCGGCTCTTTCCACTGTCGGATGGTACGCGGCTAAAAATATCTCTAGAAGCGCAGTTTAGGTGAACAGAGCGGTTTGTGGTAGTAGGGATGGTGAAATTTCACTTGTGAACAAACGGATTGTAACTTCAAATTCAACTATATATTGAATTAATCATGGCCTAAAGGATAAGACGCCCGGGGCATTCGTATCGAGCGTTGCGTCTGTGCCTATGTTCGAATCCCGCTGGCGGGTACTAATTTTTTAAATGAAATACGTATTTACTTTTTTTTTTTATTGCTTTCATGAATGAACGAGCTCACAGCCCACCTGCTATTAAGTGGTTACTGGAGCCCATAGACATCTACAACGTAAATGCGCCACCCACCTTTAGATATAAGTTCTAAGGTCTCAAGTATAGTTACAACGGCTGCCCCACCCTTCAAACCGAAACGTCACGGCAGAAATAGGCAGGGTACATTTAACAAATGTTCACGAATTACTTCCCGGTGAAGTAGTACCTAACATTGTGTAATAAAAAGTAGCCCCGAAAAAAATAAAATTTGCGTAGTTATTGGTGGTATGGTATCTTATGAGCTCGCACGGGTAGGACCACAACCCTGCCTATTTTTGCAGTGAAACAGCAATGTGCTTCGGTGTGAAGGGTGGGGCAGCCGTTGTACTGTAAAAGCTGAGAATTAGAACTCACGTCTCAAGATGACCGGCCGCATTAACCTGGTTGATGTCGACGGGCCTCAGTGACCTCAGTCAATTAAAAAAAATATACGTTGACAGCACCGCGCCTTTTGGATGCGGCGATCGGATCCAATGGTCTCTAAGATTGACTACCCTCCTCCAGTTTTCAGTTCTGAAAATAAGAGATGTATCGTAACTTAAGCCTGTCTCTTCTACCAGAACTTAAGCTGTGAAGTTGATGCGAGATTAAGTAAAAGCAGTTAAGATTAAACTCCGAATTCGGTTTCCGGATCACGGATATCCTGATACGGAAATCCGACGTGTGATGCTTTAGGTTAAATTTCGTTGGATTGTTGAATGGATACTACAGTTCGTCACCGCTACAATAACATTCATTCCACGACCAATGTTTATGTTAAAACCATTGTCTGCCGCCATTTTAGATCGTATCTAAAACACGATCTCTTTTGCGTTGACAACATGTCTATGCGATGATGATGATGGTAATTACTGAATGGAAAACTTCCAAATTGCTCTTTTTTTACTTCATGCGAAAAAAGAAGTTCTTATAGGTTTGAGTCGTTGGGTCTTTCTATGACACTCTACAATAGTTCTACAGATAAAACGATTTTAGTGCCGTCATCAATTTGGAGCTTGGTTTTATGAGAATTAGATCTTGTGCGATGTTTCTCAAAGTTATATTCAGTCAAATGAAGATTATCTAGAAGGGTAATTTTTTATGTGAACCACAAAATAAGATTGAGGACAATTTTAACTATATTTTTTATTTATTTTAAAAGTGTATTAAGCATTCAAAAATTCGAATTAAGATTTATAGAGGAGTCGGTCACTGGATTGGTGGTAGCTTGAGAAACCACTGCTGGGGCAGGAGACCACAAATCAGAAAACGTAGTAAAAAGGACGAAGGAAATGGATGGAAATGAAAGGATGTTCAGTGTGGCGAACGCGTGATGGCAGACACCTGTGTCCTGAGCATTGGGTATTCCAAGCCCTATCGGCTGGATATTTAGGAAATATATGGTGTTTTCTTTTCAAATAAAAAAATAATTTAATATAGGCACGTGAAAGAAGGCACACTATGAATACAAGTTCTACTAAGCCTCGCAAATTGCCAGAAATTTCACGTTTTCTTCGTCTTATGTTGACGCTCGCTTTAGTTTAGATGAATCTCACATTTCGCACCATTAGAATTATAGAGACCCATTTCGAAATTTTTGGCTTTCGTCTTTAATTCAAACAATGGACCTAGAACAACCCTTTTCAGCGACTTTTAGTAATCAAATTACCAGAAGTAGCTTATAAAGGGACAAAGCTATCCATCGGTCTCTTTTACTCCGTCCCCTTCCTCTACGTTTTTTCGGTTTGAGAACTTGAATCGATGTTTTCCAAAAAAACACATTTTTTGAATTGGGTCTTTATAATTCTAAAGGTCCGATTTGTCCTGTTACAATATGCGTCCGAGTTTAATTTTTCTCATCTCTTTCTCAGGGTACGGCCGCTTCAGCCGGAGTGCTTTAGGAGCGTGCGTGTGCGCTTTCTTCGCATCAGGAGTGCAGAACTGCATTATGTCTTACGTCCTGCCGGCGGCCAGATGTGAACTACAACTGACGACATACCAAGCAGGGTTGATCAACATGGCTTTTATGAGCGGTGAGTTATTTGAGGCTTTTTTTTATTTTTATTGCATAGATGGGTGGGTGGACGAGCTCACAGCCCACCTGGAGTTAAATGGTTACTGGAGCCCATAGACATCCACAACGTAAATGCACCACCCACCTTGAGATATAAGTTCTAAGGTCTCAAGTATAGTTACAACGGCTGCCCCACCCTTCAAACCGAAATGCATTACTGCTTCATGCCAGAAATAGGCAAGGTGGTGGTACCCACCCGCGCGGACTCAGAAGAGGTCGTACCACCAGTAAGTAAGTAATTTTGAGGTTTAATTGTGAGACACGTAGCGTCTTGATTTTGTAGCGGCTAGCTAACATAGAGATATATGACAGTAGAACACTGAGTCTCTCGTCGGATTTTCTCAGTGGTTCGCCATTCCGATCCGGTTGTAGATTCTGCGAAGCACTGCTCTTACTAGGGCTAGTGTTAGCAAATTTTCTACAGATTGAGCCCGTGAGCTCACCTACCCGTCCGCGGAAAAATAAGTTGACAGATGCCTGAATCTGGACAGCGGCATTTTTTTAAATATACAAACTCCCAACTTTCGGCCCGTCAGTCTACTGAGCAATTTCACCGGCTTGGTCGAAGATCTTTCGTTTGTTGATTCCTGCAGTGGTTAAACGAGTCCGTATCGGGAATAGTCCATATAATGCTGAGCCTCCTCGCCGGAGATATGCGAACGGAACTATGAACAAAGGGGTTTTCAATCATATACACCTTTATGAATACTAGTGGTCGGCCGGTAGTCGAAATTCGACTACAATTAATTGAAGTTACAAGTCTGTACACTATTATAATTCTATTGTCAAAGACAGTAGTATACTATAGTACTATAGTATAGCTGCTACTTTTGCCAAGTACTTACGTACTGCTTTCGCCAAGACTACACTTTAGACCAATAATAATAAAGACAAACAATATTTATTTTAATCTATTCATCTATTCTCAATTTGACCACATACTTTAAGCAATAAACAAAAGTTTCACAATAAACAAATAGTATACATGCGTGTGTTTGTCAAATATATCGTAGTGTGTATGTGTATGTGTAATTGTATTGATTTAATGTATATTTTATGCACAATTTAAAAAATATTAACATTTTGCACTCCTTCTCTATATTCTCTACATATATGGGAAATTTCATACTCCTCCGTCCGCGCAATTTTCGTAAAAAGGGGCTCAAAGTTTTTGCTTCACGTATTAAATTAATTTATATAGATTACAAATCACACCATAAGCATATGGATGAAAAATGCTCTCGAAATTCCAGTGAAAACCCATTACCCTATGGGAAAATTTACTACAGTCAACAAGCTAAGAGGAAACCAAATAAATCGTACTACCAAAGCCTTAACCGAGTTAAATACACAAATTAGCACGCAGTTGTGAAAACAAACATTATTAAATACATTAATGTTATGTTCAAAATTTCTCAGATTTACGTAATTGGCGTTTTCAGTTGATTCACACGTCACCGACAGTTCGGGCAATTGTGATTTTTTTATGTTTTATCTTCCTGGTACAAAAAAACCAAGATACTGAATCTATTACGGGATTCCGTAGACAAGACAACGTGAATGCCACATCTTGAAGTGTGCGGTCTAAATTGTATTGTATAATAACGCCTCACCACAAAAGCTATTACCGGTATTTGATTTTTATTACCCGATGATATTATTCCTTCATCGTTGAAGCTATGCGTAAAGTCGTATTGAGTATGTAATTACTGTGGAATAGGGATCGCAGCGCATAAAATAAAACTTCCACTATTCCAAAATCTTCTTTTATAATAATAATTAATACTTTTATTACGTCTTGCTCATTTTTGAACCGTCTTCGCCATCTTCCTTTTCTCTGTCATTCTGCTTGTCATTCTCTTTTCCCTTTCTTACTGTATTCTCTCACTCACATCTTAGCGCTCCGTTCCACACTCTTTTCATACATTGTTCCGTTCTTAGCAATCCTAAAATAATTAAAAAAAAATAATTGAGCTGCCTTTGGGATTCGAACACGGGTAAAGCCGCACGAGTATACCTGACATCTTATCCTTCAGGCCACGACGAATCGCAACGAATTACCAGTTAATGTGTAATTAATTGCGACCAAAAATATTCTTCCTATGGAGTGACGCGGTTGCTAATCACGAACTGTGAATTTGATCGGTTTTTGGGCATCGCGTTCAATGTGATAATTACGTAATTGCTTGGGTATATATTGAAACTGAAAACAGACATAATACGCTGCCTGTTTGGTGAATATTGTAATCTTCGGCTGCGTAATGGTCTAGAATAGCATCTCATCTCTTCCCGTGGCTTCTTTGACTTCACTGAACAATAGGAGGTTGGGAATTCAAATAGTACATTGCGATCACGAGTGTGCTTAGTGCGAGATGTTCAACGTTCTCGATAGCGTAAAAGTTAACTCAAATTTGTACGGAGTTGGAACGTTTGCTTACGTTTGCCGCTAGGGGCGCTGTTCCAACTGCATACAAATTTGAGTTAACTTTTACGCTATCGAGAACGTTAAAAAGCTCGTACTAAGCACACAGCCCGTATTTATGGTAGCCGTTAAACCCGAGCTATTACCTATCTCAAAGTGGATAGCGAGATCTACTGCTTCGAGAGAAACTGCAGTTTTCGACAACTACCTCCACATGCCATTGCCCGTTGACTAGTCATTCCCGGTCCTGCGGAAAGAATGGAAAGCAGTCGACGTCACCCCGAACACGTCATTTCTGATCCTCCCGATCCACTAACGGTGCTTTTAGGTACCTCAAGCACCGGTCATCGTTCTCGTCGAACCTGTCGCTTGCGACGAAGGGCTCGACGAGTAAATTACCCCTCAGACACAGCCCACTGAGTTTCTCGCCGGATCTTCTCAGTGGGTCGCGTTTTTGATCCGGTGGTAGATTCTGCGAAGCACGGTTCTTGCTAGGGTTCGTGTTAGCACCGTCGTCAGGGTTGAGCCCCATGAGCTCATCTACTAGTTAAGGTTACGCTGAAATAGCCTCTTAAAGCTCTCAGCTGGTTAGGAAAAAAAAACGTTGACAAGTAAATTAACTTATCAAAATAACAACTAATTATCTCCTGCTAAATATATATTGTTTCCCATTTGCGTCCTTTCGCCATGTTTACGGCTTGTTGAAGTTTCGACTTTGGACCACTTACCGAGGAAGTAAGTAAAACGGTCGATGATGGCATAAAACCGTGCAAACAGATCTAACAGAAGACTGACTCCATAAATGGATCTATCAGTTAACGCTCTCGTTGTGAAATTAGCGTCGGTTCGAGTGGCGCCATTTTATTTGTTCTTTTTTTTTAAACAATGCATGATTGCCGAAATATATCCATCGGTAAATTTACAGTTTAAAAGAATTTCAAGGATTGAATTCACATGCCATTTAATTAAATAGTTGTGAAAAGGGAATGGGGGTGATTGAAATTATTTTACTGGTGGTAGGACGTCTTGTGATCCACACGGGTAGGTACCACCACCCTGTCTATTTCGGCCGTGAAGCCGTAATGATTTCGGTTTAAAGGGTGCCGGTATACTATACTGAGACCTTAGAACTCATATAATAAATAAATAAATAAATAAAGATCATTTATTGCCTTTCACATCATAAAATGAAATACAAAAAAAAGAAAAGCAAAAAAAAGAGAAAAAGGCAAAAGGAGGTGGCTCAGCTATTGCTGTTCAAGGTTGATAAATTGAACAGCGCTGATTTTCAGTCACCCCCGTTTCCCTTTGGTTCTTTGCGGGAATGAAGACTCCGTACGTGTGTACATACTCAGAATATGATATAAATTAGTAAAATTAGTAAATTATAAAAATTTTAAAATAAACAAAATAAAAATCAAATTAAATGGTGAACCCGAAAACAAAACCAAAAATTTAAGAAAAAACAAAATAAAAATCAAATTAAATGGTGAACCCGAAAACAAAACCAAAAATTTAAGAAAAAAACAAAACAAAAATCAAATTANACAACTTATATATTAATTGTAAAAGTGAATTATATAGACTTACTTAATTACCGCATCCACGTGTTCCGCAACTCCCGGATCATTCTCACTAGAATACGTAACTTCCATATTTTACTGTATTCAACTGACACAAATTTATATTTATATCCAGTAAACTCCAGTCGTGCGTCGGAGCGGACACACACACTTTTTTATTATTTTACTAGCTGACACGGCAGACTTCGTAGTGCCTCAATCGATAAGTAAAAGACCTAAAATATTGTATAAAATAAAGTAAAACAAACAAAAGTAATTCGTCCGACAGGGGGGACACATCAAAGGAAAAACAAAATTGTTATTTAAATGTAATTACGAGCATTTTTGTATTTTTATCTACCTTTCAAACCTTCTCTGGACTTCCACAAATAATTCAAGAGCAAAATTAGCCAAATCGGTCCAGCCGTTCTCGACTTTTAGCGAGACTAACGAACAGCAATTCATTTTTACCTATATATTTAGAGCCGCTTTTATGTAAGCGTCCTAAACTTGTTTGAAGCCGTCTCGCATGTTTCATCTTCAACGTATCCGTTTGCAACTGTAATTTACGCATTGCTCGGTTCCTGATTGAAGGAATCCTGTGTGTAAATCAGATTAGCGAGTAATGGATCCATTTAATAATCACGCGAATATCTCACGAATTCGCTCGAGACGAGAGATAGAGTGATGATGGAACCAGGCCAGGGGTAAATTTAAGTGAATAGGAATTGCTCTACTGGTGGTAGGACCTCTTGTGAGTCCGCCCGGGTAAGTACCACCGCCCTGCCTATTTCTGCCGTGAAGCAGTAATGCGTTTCGGTTTGAAGGGTGGGGCAGCCGTTGTAATTACCTTACCTTAGAACTTATATCTTAAGATGGGTGGCGCATTTACGTTGTAGATGTCTATGGGCTCCAGTAACCATTTCACACCAGGTGGGCTGTGAGCTCGTCCACCCAGCTAAGCAACAAAAAAGAGTAATTGTTGCCCTGTCTAATTCAAAAGTCCCGGTCGCCGTTCTCGTCGAGCTCGTCGCTTGCGACTAAGGGCTCGGCGAGTAAACTAACCCATAAACACAGCCCACTAAGTTTCTCACCGGTTCTTCTCAGTGGGTCGCGTTTCCGATCCGGTAGTAGATTCAACGAAGCATTGCTCCTGCTAGGACTAGTGTTAGCAACGTCACCAGGTTAGAGCCTCGTGAGCTCATCTACTCGCCCGGCTAATTTAATATAGCCCCTCGACCTTACTAGAATAGGTAAAAAAAAAGTCAATCAACTGTTGAGACAATTGAGCTTTTGACCTCATGTCTCAATGTAGATAGCAGCATTGACACGATTATGTCCATAGGCTTCGGTAATCAAACAATTAGCAGGTAAATAGGAACAAAAACCTTTATCAAGTCGTCGTGGCCTAAAGGATAAGACGTCCGGCGCATTCGTATCTAGCGATGCACCGGTATTCGAATCCCGCAGGCGGGTACCAATTTTTCTAATGAAATACGTACTTAACAAATGATCACGAATGACTTCCACGATAAATCCTCCACGAAGGATTTTGGAACAAAAATCAAATCCGCAAAAAATCTAACTGCGTAATTAAAATTCAGATTCCTAAGGTTAGTGCCGGCATCCACTTTGTCCTGTCTATAGGTACCAGTAACAGTTTAACACCAGTTTTTTTTTTTTATTGCTTGATGGATGGACGAGCTCACAGCCCACCTGGTGTTAAGTGGTTACTGGAGCCCATAGACATCCACAACGTAAATGCGCCATCCATCTTGAGATACAAGTTCTAAGGTCTCAAGCATAGTTACAGTTACAACGGTTGCCCAACCTTCAAACCGAAACGCATTACTGCTTCACGGCAGAAATAGGCAAGGTGGTGGTACCCACCCGCGCGGACTCACAAGAGGTCCTACCACCAGATGGGTCGTTAGCACGTTCTCCTTCAAACGTGGCCCAAAAGTCCTGACAAAGCTTTTAATCTCCAGGTGGTGTCGCGAGTGCGTTCTTCTGGGGTATTGTGGGCGATGTCTTCGGCAGGAGGAGCACCCTAAGCTTGACATTGCTCCTGGACGCAGCGATAACTTTAGCCCAGAGCACCGTTCCAGACTACAGACTTCTGCTGGCAGCTAGAACCATCAATGGGTTCATTATAGGTATTAATACTAATTTCCTTGATGGTTATTTTGAAGGCAAGGTAGGTAAGGTGGATGGTAGGATCACGTTTTTCATTTTTTACTTAAACTTTCGATAAAAGCGTATTTTTAAACCTACTAAGTACTTTAACATCAATTCCTGCCTTATCGATTATAGATAAAAATATAGATATAAATTGGCAAAAATCTTATTTTGCAAATTGAATTATGGCATAATCTTATCAAATTAGTGTATTGTCATCGGTCCTCGATAGATCTACAAAGTTTGAATGAAATCTGGCCGTTTAAAGTGGGTCAAAATCGCGTCTAAAGGAGTCAGTTACAAACATACATACAAGTGAAGTTAATATAAAGCGTGTAAAAATAATCTTTATTTACCACGCAGGAGGTCCAGCTACACTGGTCTTTACGTATTTATCAGACCTAGTTGGAGTTAAGAAGAGACAATTCTATCTTAGCATGGTGGGAATGAGTTTTGTTGCGGCCTGGTTACTTTTGCCTGGTAAGTGGACTGGGTAACGTTTTTCGATTTTAACAATTTAATACAGCCTTTCCCAAAGTGGGCGATAACGCCCCCTTGTAGGCACTGCAGGCCCAAAGGGGGGCGGTAAGAGAGAAAAAATAGGGACGCTGTGTAAAGACTTGTGAGGTGAATTGTAATTTCATCTATGAGGACATTTAGACACCGACTGAGCTCTCACTATAGTGGTTTTTAAGTAGGTAAGTGAAAAAATGAGGGCGCTAAAAAGAAATTTATTCTCAAAGTGGGCAATAGACAAAATAAGTTTGGGAACCCCTGATTTAATAGAATGACGCCTAATAAGTCTCATTGTAAATTAAAGGAAATCGGCTGTCCTATATTTTGCGTATGCGTAATGGCTTCACAGCGGAAACTTGCAGCTTCATGGATCAACAACAACTTGATAACAAGTCCTACCAGTGCGAAAATAAGGTTGCAATGCCTACAAGTTCTAGTAACTACCAAATATTACGTAGGCCATAACTCATATACCCCCTCACATCAATAAATAAATAAAACAGTGGGACGAAAGAATTGTTGATTGGTTCTACTGGTGGTAGGATCTCTTGTGAGTCCGCACGGGTACCATCACCCCGCCTATTTCTGCCGTGAAGCAGTAACGCGTTTCGGTTTGAAGGGTGGGGCAGCCGTTGTAACTATACTGAGACTCTAAAGTCTAAAAGTTCTAAAACTTATAACTCAAGGTGGGTGGCGCATTTACGTTGTAGATGTCTATGGACTCCACTTAACACCAGGCGGGCTGTGAGCTCGTCCATACATCTAAGCAATAAAAAAAAATAAAAAATGTATCTTCTATTGAATTGTCAGGCTATAAGTAATGTCAGATTTGACCGTTGACCGTATTGATCCCAATCTCTTCGTACAAATCGCAGTACACTTCCGGAGAAAGCATCGTATAATATTAGACTAACAAATTGGCGACACTGACCCCGAGCGAACGAAATGTCAAGTGCTCAAGTTTACTTGACAGTTAAGCAGTTCTATCACTTAGTAGGGCTGTGCAACGTTTGAATATAATTTCTACACATAAATGGTTTCTATATTTTTTTTCGGAAAGGGCATTTGAGGAAATTCATCTCGACTTTCGTTGCTGGGGAAAGTTAGATGAGAAAATAATTGTAGTTATTTTATTTTTTATTAATTTTATTGCTTAAGTGGGTGGACGAGCTCACAGTCCACCTGGTGTTAAGTGGTTACTGGAGCCCATAGACATCTACAACGTAAATGCGTCACCCACTTTGAGACATAAGTTCTAAGGTCTCAAGTATAGTTACAACGGCTGCCCCGCCCCACCTTTCAAACCGAAACGCATTACTGCTTCACGGCAGAAATAGTAGGGTGGTGGTACCTACCCGCGCGGACTCTCAAGAGGTCCTACCACCAGTAAAAATTGTTGGAATATTGTCAGGATTCACTAAATAGTACGAAAATCTTTAGAAGTGTGTAACTAAGAAAATACTCGAATTTTTTTACTAGATATATCTTTTGGTAAATAATACCTACATGGTACGTATTTACGAATAAATTCCACATTGAAGGAATGAGATTCGCTAATTAATTAAATGGAACTTGTTAACTTTATAAAGCTCCATTGGGCATTAATTATCCCTGTTTATTTATGCTGTAAAGCACCACATCCATCCTTCTTCTTCTTCCTATTCGTACACTCTTGACAGAGTGGTCGTGGTCATGCATCAGTCGGATATACGACCTGCTCATGACTCTCGTGGGAAATTAGTGCAGTGGTTTCCCGTTGCCTTCTGCACCAGCATTTTAGGGGGTATTTGATACCCATGGTTTCTGAGGCCTCTTCCGTACAGGTTGCCCTGACGGTTGTGTATGGTTATACCGCCATTGCTCGGTCGCCATTGCCCCGTTGCTTTTCTAGCAGGGAGCACCACGGCAACCTGTTGGTCGCCGCCGCCATCCGGCGCGTGCAGGCGGGGTTGACAATAGGGCCGGTGAAGGTAGCATTCCCATCTCCCCTTACTCCCCAAATCCATGCTTAATGTCTACTTAATGCGATTTTTTTTAACATTCTTGATAGCTTAAAAGTTAGCTCAAATTTGTATGCAGTTGGAACAGCGCCCCTAGCGGCAAACGTAGGCAAACGTTCCAACTCCATACAAAATTGAGTTAACTTTTACGCTATCGAGAACGTTCAAAAACTCGCCCTAAGCACACTAGTGCGATAGTAAAAATCAAAATAAACTTAATTAGAATATTATTGCAAACTACCATCCCTAACTAAGTACTAGTGACCTACTGATCCGCTTAACACACTTTACAATTGAAATAGTCAAAATACATGCCAATTATACAGTGTATTTGTCAATGCAAATTTACTGTTGTGCAAATTTAATATTTTATTTAAAGAAAAACTGTTTACATATTTTTATTCAAACGAAAAAGTAGGTACCTAGTCGGTGAATCATATTATAATAGTATTTGTGTGACCCAGTATTTTATTCAATAGGTCACGTAGGTCATGACTCAGTACCGCCCGGTCGCCGCCGACCCATTTAGCTTTATTCGCCGACGACACGACTGTTTACTATTCTAGTAGAAATAAGTCCCTAATCGCGAAGAAGCTTCAGAGCGCAGCCCTAGCCCTAGGACAGTGGTTCCGAAAATGGCGCATAGACATCAACCCAGCGAAAAGTACTGCGGTGCTATTTCAGAGGGGAAGCTCCTCACGGATTTCCTCCCGGATTAGGAGGAGGAATCTCACACCCCCGATTACTCTCTTTAGACAACCCATACCCTGGGCCAGGAAGGTCAAGTACCTGGGCGTTACCCTGGATGCATCGATGACATTCCGCCCGCATATAAAATCAGTCCGTGACCGTGCCGCGTTTATTCTCGGTAGACTCTACCCCATGATCTGTAAGCGGAGTAAAATGTCCCTTCGGAACAAGGTGACACTTTACAAAACTTGCATAAGGCCCGTCATGACTTACGCGAGTGTGGTGTTCGCTCACGCGGCCCGCACACACATAGACACCCTCCAATCCCTACAATCCCGCTTTTGCAGGTTAGCTGTCGGGGCTCCGTGGTTCGTGAGGAACGTTGACCTACACGACGACCTGGGCCTCGAATCAATTCGGAAATACATGAAGTCAGCGTCGGAACGATACTTCGATAAGGCTATGCGTCATGATAATCGCCTTATCGTTGCCGCCGCTGACTACTCCCCGAATCCTGATCATGCAGGAGCCAGTCACCGTCGACGCCCTAGACACGTCCTTACGGATCCATCAGATCCAATAACCTTTGCATTAGATGCCTTCAGCTCTAATACTAGGGGCAGGCTTAGGGACCCCGGTAACCGTACTCGTCGAACTCGACAAAGAGGTCGACGTGCAACCTAACCCATGCATCAGCCCGCTGAGTTTCTCGCCGGATCTTCTCAGTGGGTCGCGATTCCGATCCGGTAGTAGATTCATTCGCGAAGCAGCTACTCTTGAGTTGTTAGGTCTCCTTCGGAGGCGCTCGGGTAGCTGTTAGCAAATCCCACCCCTCCTGGCTGAGCCTTTGCTCGCCCACCTGTCCTGGTGAAACTGGAAAGGCCTTCGGGCCACCAGTAATCCTTCAATCATAAAAAAAAAAAAAAAAGACTCAGTACCGTTCAGACGATAATTCCTGATTGCTGTGTCTAAGAAGGTTGGATTATGGCTTCAGCCCGCGCAGACTCTCGGGGCTTTGAAACTGGGATAGCTTAAGACAAATTTTTTTTTTGTACGGAAACTATCGACATCTTGTAGCGGATGCCCCTAAACTTATATGTTGTTAAAGTTAAGGCATTTAATTATTATTTTTATTATTGTATAACTAAACACAGAATATAAAAAAAAAAAAAATTATACTAGTATTTATTTGTGATAGACAAATTGATAAAATTTTATCAATTTGTGGTTTCTGAAAATTTACAAAATCCTTCATTAAAAATAAAATATAGGATAATTGATATGTTACTGCCATCTACAAGAGGAATGAGAAACTAATCGAAGTGAAGCCATCTAGTGGCCGACGCTCGTAAACATGTTTTTGAGTGCTTGAGTTGCTTATCTATAACTAGTTCATGTGTATTATCTCTACAGACTCCTATTGTTTCTGACTTCCTATATTTCGAAGGAATTCATATATTTCCTTCCTTCCTATTCGAAGGTACGGATTGATATAAATAGTTACCTATCTTCATTTCCAGCACTCGCCTGGATGGTGATTCCATTTAAGATCCCGGACTATCCAACGCTTTTGCCAATTTACTCGTGGAGGTTGTTTCTTGCCCTGGGCAGTCTACCGGGCTTCATCGCGGGAATCTGGGTGCTGTACTTACCTGAAAGTCCTAGGCTGCTTTTGGACACAAACCGAGGCGAGAAAGCGTTGAAGTTAATAGCTAATATTCATAAAGCTAATAATGGCAAGAATTCGGATTTCAAGGTTTGTTCAAAGATTATTATTAGTCTTGAAATTTTTAGACAATACGGGGTAAGCTTTACTTTTGCAGAATGGTAGAAATGGTGGTTACTAGCCGCGAGGGGCTCAAAAATACCAGTATTCGAAAATAATTTGACTGATACCTTAAGATATAAACGTGTTTCGATTTAAAAAAGTACATTTCCACTTTTATTTTGTTTTTGTTTTTAAAAAAAATCCCTAGCATTTTTAAAAAGATTTTGGGACCACTTAAACTTGAGCATATGTACCTAATTAGGTACTAAAGAAAATTAAAAATAAATAAAAGAAAATTGGTTCACAAATAGGTCAACCAGAAAGTGTTTCTTATCTGTTTTGTTTTTAATTAGGAAACATATAGGTACGTATAAATAAGAAAATTTTAGAAGACGAGTTTTTCAGACGGCCAATAAAACAGATGCATTATTTGAAATCTTTTACAGATCAAAAAGCTGATAGCCGACAATATATTCGTGGCGAAAACTCTAAATGTTGATGAAAATAAAACGATTACTTTGCTGATGGGAGTTTTGAAGGATTTGAAGATATTTGTGTCGAAGAGCTACGCTATGAAATCCAGTCTCATACTTTTCGTGTTCTTCGCTAATATGGCGGCGTAAGTTATTTTATACTAGACGTGCCCTGCGGTTTCGCTCACGCAAAATTTTGTAATTTAAAAAGTTACCTGTACAAGCAAAGTCCCGAGACAAAATGTCGTATAATATCATTCACCATGATGAAATGTGTTAACACTGATTTTAGGTTAACTAAAACTTATTTTTGTACAAAACTAGCTGTACCGTTCCGCTTCGCTGGGCATTAAAATTAACGTTATTCTTTTCATCTCCACAAAGATTCTCATCATTAACGCCCCCGCAAGTGGTGTAGGGAGTCCAACACTCATATAAATATTAGCGTATCCATTAAGTACATGTATTTTCTACATGGATACCAAGTTTCAAATCAATCGGATGCACGGTTCAGTAGTTATAACGGAGCATCCGTAAAAACCACTGTAGATTTATATATTAGTACTAGCTGACCCGGCAAACGTTGTTTTGCCATATATAAGATTTCTAGGGAATTCCTAGTGTAGAAAAAAAAAACTAACTTATTGTAAGTGTGTAAGGATGTGGTAGATGAGTGAAAGAGGCATGTAGCGCTGTGAACGATGAAGGAATATAAAAATAACAATACCTCATTCAACCACATAATGTCTCATTATAACAAAAAAAAAATGTCCAAAAAATAAAAAATAAATCTTAGGGGTGGACAACCCTTATCACTTAAGGGTATAAAAAATATATAGATGCATAAAAATTTTCATGAGAATCGGTCAAGCGGTTTCGGAGGAGTATGGGAACGAACATTGTGACACGAGAATTTTATATATTAGATAGATTTCATCGACGAACGAATTTAACGAATCAAAACCTGTTGGACTATTAAAATATAATCTAACATGGAACTACCCTCTATCGTTTCCATATGTTTTGCAGAGGCTTCGGCCTAAACATGTGGATCCCAGAACTGCTACTCAGGATGCAGGGAAGAGAATGCAAGAGCGCCGCGTTGAATCAGACCGCCTCAGCTCTCCACAATGGAACGCACGTGGCTTGGAAGGAACTCACCAAACTATACGACTCATATGCTAAGCCTGAACTGGTGGCCAATTATAACAGCACTGGTTTTGAAGGTCACGGATGGCGCGAAGAAAAATGCGATGCCACTATGGATGACGAGGTGATTGATAAATTTTTATACTAGTATTTATAATTTTGAAAAGAAATAACATGGGAAAAATATAATCATTTAAATACGTCAATGAAGTTAAAGAGTTTCTGTATTGTGATCTCTCACGAGGAATTGGGTTAAGGGTACTTTTTGGTAATAGTCTGTCCAACTTAACCAGGGAAGAGTTTGGGCGCTCCGGTTGTGGAAGGTTGTTATTCAGAACTTGTATTTATTTATGCAAGCTTATTTTGAAGATGTCGTAAGTGAGATTCAGACGTCTGTCAAATATCTTGTGATCTGTGATGGCTACCGCCACACGTCGTTTTTTCTTAAATCAAATACTGAATAAATCCATATATATAAAAATGAATTGCTGTTCGTTAGTCTCGCTAAAACTCGAGAACGGCTAATTTTGGTCTTGAATTATTTGTGGTAGTCCAGAGAAGGTTTAAAAGGTAGAAAAATATGAAAATGCTCGGAATTATATAAAAACAAACAATTTTGTTTTTCCTTTGATGTGTCCCCCGTCGAACGGATTCCTTTTGCTTAAGTTTATTTTATACAAAAGTTTAGGTCTTTTATTTATCGATTGAGGCACTACAAAGTCTGCCGGGTCAGCTAGTACTGAATATTTTTCAAAACCTTAGTAAAGTTTTAAGCCACTTTGGTTGACGTTACTATTTTAAATTCCAGATCTTCACGTCAGGCCTAATCGTGGGGGCTTGCTGCGTGCTCGGTAATGCTGCGTGCGCTATCCTCTGTGCCAAGGGTGGGGCTCGAGGAGTCAAGAACTCAGCGGCCGCGTGCGCTGGGGCCTGTGCCCTGGCTTCCGCCTGTTTGGCAGCGAGCGCATGTTCCTGCTCCAACTCCAACAAGATAGCTGTAGCGGCTGCAGCAGCTTTGAATGCTGCTTCGCTGAATGGAAACGTGCTGTTGATCAGACTGTTGTTGAATGCTTTACCAGCGAAATTGAGGTACGCATTTAGGAGGCTTTGGAATGAGCTCTCCTCCACGGTGTTTCCCGAGCGCTATTACTTATCCTTCGTCAAACGAGGCTTTGTGGAGAGCACTCACGGTAGGCAGCGGCTTGGCTCTGCCCCTAGCATTGTTGAAGTCCATGGGCGACGGTAACCACTCATCATCAGGTGGGCCGTATGCTCGTCTGCCTACAAGGACGATAAAAAAAAGCATACAACGGACAGGGGCTACAACAGAAATTTCATAATCCATTAGCTGGTCGTTACTTGTGGTAGAGTGTCTTTTGCCTGCATATTTCTGCCGCGAAGCAGTAATGATTTTCAATTCGGGTGGGACAGCTTTGGTCGTACATAACTGTGACTTAGAACTCATGTTTCTGGTAACCAACTTACTCCGTGGGTGGACCGTGGTCTTGTCCACCCATGTAAGTAATTAATAAAAATGTTACTGCTCCTCATACTTTCCTGACGCAGCTGTGTCTACTATCAACAAATGACTATGGAAACAGACCACAGAGCACTGATTGAAACGTTTCACCCCACGTACTTATAATTTTCTGAAATATTGGATCTGAATAATACGGTGTCACATCACCGAGGATCTAACTCCTAAAGATCCAAATTTGTAGTCATTGAATTATCCAGATTCTTATTCTTATTTGCAGTGGCCTTGGGGTTTGCTGGGGCGCATGGTGGGGCAGAGCAGGTGGTGTGGCTTCCAATCTAGCAGTAGGAGCATTGCTAGACCTCTCCTGTCCAGCCCCTTTTATTGCCGTAGCAGCTTTATTAGCTTGTAAGTATATTAAATTGAATTCAAGATGGGTAGACGAGAATGGCTAGCGATTCCAGTTTGAGAGGTGAACTTTAAGTTTCAATGGTACTATTATGTAAAAGAGATGACAAAGATGAATCAGGTGAATATAATTCATTAGAATTAGTTTAACTATGCGGTCACCATGACTTGGCTTGTGCTTGAATTAGTAGAAAAATAAATTTAAGAGTGAATTAAGAGAATTAAGGTGAAGTTATTACTAGGAATTAATACTGATATGGATCGACTAATGGAAAATGCACTACGAAAAGAAAATTTGTTCACAGTATCAATAGGCTGCATAATGGTGATCAAGATAGATGAATCACAAGACGAAACGCGAAAAGAAGAAGACAATTCGAATATAGAAAGATACATATCAACTTACATGTAGATAGAAAAATATGATTAATCGCTAATTGAATTAGAAGTATAATGCCTTGAAACGCATTAAGAATTTAAGACTTTAAGTGCGAGAATAAATCGATTAATTTTGAATTGTCCCTGTTTTTGAAACATCATTTTTGCAAGGACCATGTTTGGGACCTCCACTCCTAGGCCCTTTTAAAAACGTAATAGCAACTATATGTTGTATCTATAGATACACAATAAGTATGTTATAATATCATTGGACTTGGTCAAACAGAATGATAGATTTCTTTATGTAATAAAAATCTTAACTGCAATAGTTGTATAATGATATGCAGTTAATGCTACTCCAAGATGACGTCATAAGGAATTGCGTTCGTCCTTGTTTCCTTCGTAGATTGACTCGATGGCGCAGTAGTTAATACCATTGACTGCTGGAACGAGGGTCACAGGTTCTATTCCCACATGGAGCGAACATTCGTGTGAATTGTTTGTTTTTTGTCTTAGTGTTTTATAATTGTGTATGTGGATGTCGCAGCGTATGCTTAAACTATGTCAATGGTCTCTGGTTCTTACAGTTTAGAGAATTCTAGTTTGAAGTTAGATGAGTGATGGTGTGTGATTGGTCTTACATTATTTATTTATTTAATTGAATTGATGCCGGACGGGTGTTTGTAGAAGTGAAACAAAAGCTTAGCTTAACTTATATTTCGAATTATAAACGCGGATCAAAAATAGACTTTTGATATTAAGGACTGTGATCTTAAAATTTTTATTAATCATTGATTAAATCAAATGAAATGTTTATTGACGACTGTTCGCACTTACCTTGGTGGAGTTTAGTTAAATTTTTATAGTAAAAAAAATTGTATATTTAAAAACAAAATGTAATCATACGTTTCACTGGTGGTAGGACCTCTTGTGAGTCCGCGCGGGTAGGTACCACCGCCCTGCCTATCTCTGCCGTGAAGCAGTAATGCGTTTCGGTTTGTAGGGTGGGGCAGCCGTTGTAACTATACTGAGACCTTAGAACTTATATCTCAAGGTGGGTGGCGCATTTACGTTGTGGATGTCTATGGGCTCCAGTAACCACTTAACACCAGGTGGGCGGTGAGATGGTCCACCCATCTAAGCAATAAAAAAAAACGTATTGATATTAAGGTAACAATTTGTAGATCTATTTTTTTCAACTGACAATTATTGTCATTTAGTACTGTAATAAAATTTGTAAATTTAAATCTTCCTTTTCGTAGTTTTTTACATAGGTACCTTTAAATTTTTTAATACTTTAATGGTTTAATGATCTGTTTATTTTGTTATTATTTTCTTCTGTAATTAGAGATTGATTCGTTAAAAGCGTTTAATATCTTAACTTAAAAAAACCCATGCCTACATTATAAGTAGTTTTTAAGATCTCGTTAGTAAAATTTAGTAGCGACATATCTTTGTAATATTTTTAATATTATGTATGAATTTTGCGCCACAAAATGGACAAAATAATATTTGTGTACAGAAAATGAAGTAAAACTTTTATCTGTATTTTTATTTATGTCAATCGTCCACTTTTAATATCGTTTGCAGGTTTTTTGTTTTTACTTTTCGTGGATTAGCCAGGTGTGTGATTTCTTCATCGTAGCCAAAGACTTTCGTGAATATGTGTTAGCCTAGTGGGTTTCTCGCCGAATCTCCTCAGTGGGGCGCGATTCCGATCTGGTGGTAGAGGTGGGTGGCGCATTTACGTTGTAGATGTCTATGGGCTCCAGTAACCATTTAACACCAGGTGGGCTGTGAACTAGTCCATCCATCTAAGCAATAATAAAAATAAAAAGATTTTGCGAAGCACTGCTCTTCCTAGCGCTAGTGTTAGAAAATTATCTCATGTTGAGCCCGTGCGCTCAACTACCCGTCAGGGCGAAGCTGGAATAGCCTCAGGCTACCAGCGAATAGGTAGGGGAAAAAAACGTATCGAATACGTATTTCACGTTAATAATCACGGTCCTTATATTATGTTAATGTACATTTATCTAGAAATTGTTTATCGAAGTGAAACTTCTTTAGAATCGTTGTGATTTCAAACTCGATGAAACGAAAAAATAAGTCCATAGAGACACAAACACATGAATGTATAGGATTCGGCCGGCGAGAGAATGAGATAGAACACATTAGACGTTCTCAGTGTAGTGTTTTTTTTAATACAGCGCCATCTATGAGATTTTTAAATACTAACGTGTGAAACCTCTTGTAGTGAATTTTAGGTTAGGGTTATACGTGAAGTTAAAATATCAATTCACAGAGGGCGTTACCTCATACTATAAAATATGATTTACAATTATTTACTAATCACAAAATTTTACATAATAATATACTTAAACACTTAGGATAATTGTATTTTAATTTTTGAAGTTTTCACTTCTATCACGTGTGAATTGCACACATGTTTTTTTCTTTTTTGTTTGATCAAAAGCTTTCGCTTTCTAGCACTTCAGTTAGACGTTTTCAGCTTCTCATGTCGATCTGGGGGAAGAAACCATGCTGCCACGACGCTGGCTGCAAATGAAGTTTAAATTTTAAGGTACCTACATACTTACATTTTTTTATTTATTGCTTAGATGGTTGGACGAGCACACAGCCCACCTGGTATAAAGTGGTTACTGGAGCTCATATACATCTACAACGTAAATGCGCCACCCATCTTGAGATATAAGTTCTAAGATCTCAGTATAGTTACAACGGCTGCCCCACCCTTCATACCGAAACGCATTACTGCTTCACGGCAGAAATAGGCAGGGTGGTGGTACCTACCCGCGCGGACTCACAAGAGGTCCTACCACCAGTTGTAAAATATATACCTAGCTCATGAATAACTTCGAATTTTAAACGAACAAACAGTCTGTACGTTTAAAAAAGGGATATTCATTTTAGATTTAGGTATGCTCTGGCTGTGTGCTGCCGGTATAGACAGTGGCGTAGTGATTGGGGCTCAAGGAAGGGCATCATGACCGCAAAATAAAAAATTGCTGGATAATTTTTATTTTAAATATAATTGATTTCTGGAAAATATTACGCTAAAAAGGTCTTGTGCCCCGTGCGCGAGTTAAGATCGCTACGCCACTGGGTTATAGACCGCACCACCTCCTCCCGTGGATGTTGTAAGACTAAAGGATTTATTCTAGAAGTTCTAGAGTTTTTTGAATGAGAGCTGCATTATTATCGTTATACTATATGCTTGGAGCTTTAATCTAATGTATCAGGGTCACATTAAGCCAGTTGGACTACTACCAATGGAACTACTCCCGCCATCTTATGCGATATTTTAATAAATACTTTAAAAGTTTCTAAAAATACTCGCTAGATGTCATTATAACAAATTTTGAAATCGAAGATATAATTTTAAAATGTTTTCGAGATTTTCTGTTATAAAGAGGCAACGAAAACATTTTTAGAGTTATTCAAAGGTGCACACTAAGATATCGGAGAAGAATAAAAAATATTTAAGCGACGAACATATGTTTAGAAAATGAAATTAAGGAAATAAATACTTACTTAAAACCAACAAAGACCAGAGATAAAATGTTAACTGACAGTAATTGAATATGAGGTGTCCAACTAAATTGATGCCCATGAATGCCGAACTCCTGCCCACCATGATACTTAGGCACGTCACCATTCCCCTGAATGAGATAAAAGCAATACAAAATGGGTATATTATCTAAGTAGTCATATTTATAGAGAGCGGATTTTAAATATGTATATACGAGATTAGCGTTTTTTTTGGTCTTCATCACAATTTCTAATTAATAATCACATAAAATATTTCAAAAAAACCTTTTCTTATCATGATATTTTTACCAAACACTCAATCTGTTCATAACAAAAGCAACTATAATTGAAAATGAGTGCAAGAGCTCACGAACCAGAGTCCATAGACATCAACAACATAACCCCATCCACCTTGAGACATGATATTTTTTCCTACCTATGCTAATAGCCTTGAGAGGCTTGAGAAAATCAGCAGGGTGATGGTACGTACCCGTTGCGACGCACAAGGGGTCCTACCACCAGTAATTAAGCAAATTATAATTTTATAGGTTTGATTTTTTTATTACACGATGTTTCGTCTTCACCGTGGAAGTCAGTCGTGAACATTTGTTAAGTACGTATTTCATTAGAAAAATTGGTACCCGCCGGCGGGATTCGAACATAGGCACAGTCTCATCGCTCAATACGAATGCACGTGACGTCTTATCTATTAGGCCACGACGATTTCAGTATGACGGTATTCGTATTGTCCTTTCGTTATCTACCACAACTACCAGGAGAATCGAAATGTTTTTGACGTGATAACGTGTTATAAATCGATGAAAACCGGCTGCATGCACGAAAAAGTGTCACGTTCCGCCTGAACCCGAGCGTGCAAGCGAGTGCGCGGAACAACCGATAGAAGCACGATCGACCCAAGCGCTGGCTTGTGACACATTTAACTTTCTTCTCGCGTGACGTCACACCTAGCAGTTCGAATAGTTCTGCTACTGATGTTATCACATAAGACTATCGCCCGTAAACCGATTTTACAGACAACCAATTATTATCATTTTTTTGTTTGGAACTCACCTGTGAGATGTTGGATACAGGTCCACAAAATAGGACGCCATAATCCCCATACCCAAGCAAGTGCAAGTGAACATCATGAAGAATATCACACTGGATATTGTCTCCGGTGTCAAGTTGATCAGGACCCCGCTCACGGCTGAGACGGACAGAACTGTGAGGAGCACCGGCCTTCGGTGGTTGGGTAGATAAGATAATACAAAGTTTAAAAGGGAAAATATGGTCTGGGATATTATGAGAGTGAATACCACGTTATCTTCCACCGTCCCCAAGCAGTTCTCCGAGGACTGGAATAAAAAGATAATACATTACATTTTACTGCAGTGATTATAGTCTTTAGAGGTGCCCCACCGAATTCCCACCCCGCAAAATGGACCACCTGACTGCGTTGAAGCCGAAATATACAGTATACTATACACAACCGTGGCTATTTCTAAATATGCGAGATATGTGGATTTGTTGATTCTACTTGCGCGCCATTTGATAGAAATAGGCGGAGCAGGTATCCGCGTGGGCTTACAAGAACCTCTACCTACAGCCAGTGCCAACAATAACTGTAAAGTCCCAATTGGCTATGTTTTTCACCACAATAACTGATCCTGGATCCAGCGGATTCCCGTGACTTTTAGCAGCTCATCTGTCCACCTCGGGATTAACCTTCCCTATATTAATCATAGGTAAATGTCGTGATAGTGGTAGAGGCCCAGCGATCAGCAGAGTTCCGATTTTTGATATTAAGTGGTGGTCTAATGCGGGGTCTGAGTTTATATATTCCCTCATGCTTTTTATTTCTGTTTGTTATCCCCTATTGACTTACGTCGCTAGAGGAAAGATTTCCTGTTGCTTCCGTATGAATCAGTTCACAGACGTTACCGGTTCTGGTACCGTTAGCTTGTAAGGATTTCCTAACTTGCTCCATGATGTGCGGGAGCCAGATCAAGAAGCTGTTATTGCTGAAAGAAAAAGAAAAAAAATAGCACGTAAGCTTTTTCATTCTGGTGATGAAGGTTTTATTCGATTTTATTAGATACGGTGAATCCTTTTAGGTGCGCTGGGGTTGTTTGTCGACTATTCACGAAACCCGACCTTACAAAGAAAAATATTTCTGCTTTCTGTTGATATAAGCATGCACAAGATCACAATCGACCTTACGTAATGGGGCTCACCGACATGCGACAAACCTACCTATGACGCATAAAGTCCTGGTCTCAATCGCATTAAATTGTGCATGACTGCTATATATTTAATGGTCGTAAGACCTCTTGAGAGCCCGCGCGGCTAGGTACCTCCACCTTGCCAATTTCTGCCGTGAAGCAGTAATGCGTTTCGGTTTGAAGGATGGGGCAGCCGTTGTAACTATACTTGAGACCTTAGAACTTATATCTCAAGGTGGGTGACGCATTTACGTCGAAGATATCTATGGGCTCCAGTAACCACTTAACACCAGCTGGGCTGTGAGCTCGTCCACCCATCTAAGCAATAAAAAATAAATAAATAAATACGGCCAAAATACTCAGACCAATGACACCTAGTCGTTGGGGCTCACCGTTTTTTTTGGGCGATACTGGACATCTTTTATTATTTAATGTCATTTTCTATACTATTATTAAAATTATTTACTGGTGGTAGGACCTCTTGAGAGCCCGCGCGGTTAGGTACCTCCACCTTGCCTATTTCTGCCGTGAAGCAGTAATGCGTTTCGGTTTGAAGGGTGGGGCGGCCGTTGTAACTATACTTGAGACCTTAGAACTTATATCTCAAGGTGGGTGGCGCATTTACGTTGTAGATGTGAAGTAAAACCTGCATCTCACGTGATGTACGCCACGGAAACAATGTAGAACAGCTGCAGGCTTCTCAGGAGATACGGCTGGCGAAATAGGGGAGCGCTCTGTTCGTAAACGGCGCGCCAGATAGATGCCGATTTCGTTTCTGTTTTTCTTTCTATTTTCATTAACCGAATCTGAGGATGTAATGCGTGGGCTTATTATAATTGTGTCCGTGAAATCGAGGGTAAGGTTCTGGTGAAGAGGAGTGCAGGAGGCAGCCGCACAATCTGAAGATCTTGTTCATCAAAACATCGATAGTTAATGTTAGGCTTTTTATAAAAAGGGTGAGCCCCCCTTTATGTATGTACATTGATATTGTTCGATTTGAGTTACGACATGATAGAATGATGAGTAATCGGTTTTTTAAAGTAACTGAGATATCGACCTCACGTCTCGAGGGCTCTGGTAGCTCACGTTAGATAGACGATGTGCTCGTCAAGCCAGGTAGCGCATAAAGAATATTGTGATGAAAATCAATTTCCAGTGCCGATTTATACAATAGTAATAAGGTAGTTGAAGTTAGAAGGTCACCTAGAGAAATTTCTCATTTTAAGTTCTTACTCTTCATTCAAAATTTATTTATTTTATTTACTTATTAGGCACACAATATTCATTACAATCTAAAAGATACACATTAAATGACAACAATTAGAAAATCTGACTTGTAACATAAGCCTTAAGCGTATGACTAAACAACGCAAATTTAATGTCCTGAGTACACAAACAACACGATAACGAAAACTAATCTAATTTATAATATAAGGAAATAATTAATTAAACAATTACACCCCTACTTAATATAATAATTCTGCTTACAATTACACTACTTAATTTATTTTTGGCATGGAGGATGCCCTTGAAAACTTTTATAAACATCACTAATTGACAAGTAAAAATATCCAATTCAGTTGACGACTTTGCCAGTTCGTTATAGATGCGAGAATTGGGGTAATTGGATTATAGTAATATATATTGTTTTTGTAAATTGCAAAGGTATTATTTTGGTTGACCCTACGAGCACTAAATTCATTGCTTAATAAAATGCGTGATAGCAATTCAGGCGAATCTATTAGAGTTTTTTTTTTTATGATTGAAGGATTACTGGTGGCCCTGAGGACCTTTCAGTTTCAACAGGACAGGTGGGCGAGCAAAGGCTCGGCCAGGAGGAGTGTGATTTGCTAACAGCTGCCTTGCTAACTCAAGAGTAGCTGCTTCGCGAATGAATCTATCACCGGATCGGAATGGCGACCCACTGAGAAGATCCAGCGAGAAACTCCGCGGACTGATGTATGGGTTAGGTTGCACGTTGGCCTCTTTGCCGAGTTCGACGAGCACGGTTACCGGGGTACCTATGCCTTTTTTTTTATTGCCCTTGTAGGCAGACGAGCATACGGCCCACCTGATGGTGAGTTGTTACCGTCGCCCATGAACTTCAGCAATGCCAGTGGCAGAGTCAAGCTGCCTTCCGCTAAAATAGGAAGAAATAGGAAGGGTGGTGGTTCCCACACGTGCGGACTCACAAGACACCCTACCACCAGTAAAATTCGAGGATTATTAAAAATTTTTGATGATCTCAAACCCTAATTATTTATTAATTATAAGGTCATTTGTTGATAGTGTTCCATAAATGAAAGTTTTTCATTGAAGTAGATACCCAAATCATTAACTGTGAATAATCTTTTTAGTATCAAGCCCTCGATGGAATATTGGAACATATAACAACAGTGATAATCACTGTGTTCCCGTTGAGTCTGAAGGTTCCAAGAGTATCTGAAGCTTTAACTTACCTTGTAGTTATTTTTCGAGGTTCTATGATTGATAGCATAAATTCCCTTCAGCACCTCCATAGCTTCGTCTTTTCTTCCACAGTTGAAAAGGAATTTTGGAGATTCGTAAAAGAAAAACATGGCTAATGCACCCATTCCTAGTGGAAGAGCCAGTACGATGATGAGCAGCCTCCAAGGCTTGTAGACGACTCCTATAGTTGATAGGTCCGTGGCGAAGTCTAACTTCAACGTGGGATAGGTTAAAACTGGAAAATTATTAGCATAGGCCATAACTCCACCATTAAAAGAGCTGTATGTGTTTTTTTTTATTGCTTAGATGGGCGGACGAGCTTACGGTCCACCTGGTGTTATGTGGTTACCGGAGCCCATAGACATCTACAACGTAAGTGCCGCCCACCTCAAGATACGAGTTCTTAGGTCTCAGTTTTTACAGTAGAACGGCTGCCTTTAAATCGAAACGCATTACTGCTTCACGGCAGAAATAGGCAGGGTGTTGGTACCTACCCGTGCGGACTCATAAGATGTCCTACGACCAGTGAGTGAATAAGATATGTGTTAGAACTCCAGTCTAGAATATTAATTATTACTCCAGTAGAGAACAAAAGTATCTCTCTCTATCACACAGCTCTGTGGTGTTAGGAACTCTTGTGACGGATGGATACCACCGCCCTGCCTATTTCTGCCGTGAAGCAGTAATGCGTTTCGGTTTGAAGAGTGGGGCAGCCGTTGTAACTATACTGAGACTTTAGAACTTATATCAAGGTGGGTGGCGCATTTACGATGTAGATGTCTATGGGCTCCGGTACCCACTTAACACCAGGTGGGCTGTGAGCTCTTCCACCAATCTAAGGAATTTAAAAAAAAAATCTCACCTCCAGAAACAGCTGGCGCTAATAACAATAGGCAGGTCATTAGTAACATGTACTTATTTCGCACGCGTTGCACACATGTCTCTCCTACGATCGTGTAGGTGACTGAATTCGCTGCACACGAACTGAAAAAGCGATAAAGAAGATCTTACAACGTGCAGTCAGCCTTTTTCTGGATTATAATACGACAAAAACTGTTGAATTTTCCCAACACTTTATACCGGTTTGCGACAACTTAATAGTGATAATTATTAATACACTTTTCTTAGCTTCAGATGTATGTTAGTATGTAACGGAATCTTTGAACATGATTTTGACCCCCTTCAAAACGTCGGATTAACTTGAAATTTGGTATACTTATTAAAGACCGATGACAATTCAATATTAAAATAAAATTAGAAAAATATATATTGAAAAAATTTAAATTCAACTAAAAAGTGATAAATAAATAATGGCTTAAAAAAACCAAAAAAAAATACGCTTTTATAGAAAATCCCACAAAAAAATTGAAAATAAATCTGAATAAATTTGAATTAAAAATAGTGTAAGAAAAAAGGATTTTATTGTAAAAAAAAAGCAACAGATTTACTAAAAATATCAAAATCGTTTTCAAAAAATTAAAGAATAATACTATCGGCATCTACTACACATAGTTAAATTACATAACATAACATATTACATCCAATAGTAATATCTATATATTATGGCCAAAGTCACTCGTGGCCAATATCAATTTCAGAGACACAAGAAGAACTTTCCATACATTGAATTGACCTGCAGAATCGACTACTTAATAAAGTCAATCAAACCTCGCTACCGGCAGCAACGATCTTAATAGCTGGATGTCAAACAAGTCAAAAATTAATGTTGAGAACATTATATCACGTTCTTGTTTACTTACATATAAACATTGCCACGATTCTATTTGACTTCTGTTCGTCCAATAAATTATAAAATAAACATCATCCACTTCACCATATTGTACCTTGATGGTAGATACATTTCTTTCTAACTACAAGCAGGTAATTAAAATTTGTGCTTATTACTTTTACCAGAAAAACTTGGCGTCGGTGGAACCGAAGCTAGGTATCTTTGGCATGACGTGGGAGAAGCTAGAACAGACTGCCCAAGGCCGATGTAAATGGAAGGATTTTATTCGAACCCTACACCCATATTTCTTCGGTTGTTTTCGGCATCAACCGCCGTAATTCTATTTTTATAGATTCAGGCGTCTTAGACTCTAAGCCGACGAAGCTGCCAGTCTGTACCTACGTCAGTCTTTCAGTAACTACGCACGTATTGATTTACTCACAAACAAACGGAGAGAAACTTCAGCAGTCCCAAGACCAGCCAGTGATTGGCCAAGCTGCTAATGCAGTTCAGCGCGAACGAGATGAGGAGAGGAATAACTAAAGTGAACCTTCGGCCCTTCGTATCTGATACGTAGCCCCACACGTAAGAAGCAAGGATGATACCTAAAGTACAAAAAAATAGGGTTTATCACTACATATTATAAAACAAAGTCGCTTTCTCTGTCCCTATATCTGTCTGTCCATATGTATGCTTAAATTTTAAAACTACGCAACGGATTATGATGCGGTTTTTTTTAATAGATAGAGTGATTGAAGAAGAAGGTTTATATGTATAATAACATCCATTAAATAGTGGAGAAATCAATAATAAATTACAGTTTCCGAAGCGAAGCGAGGGTGGGTCGCTAATTAGCGATATTTAATGAATGGCACGTTGCAATGGATATACTATTGAAGATATAGACCCAGGAGGGTTGATGATAGTTATGTGGTCCGTGCTAAAACTCATTCTATTTTAAGTCCCTATGCAGCATCATTTGAAAAATAAGCTGTGTCGGCCCTAAATAATGTCGGATAAGTAGAAGATCCAATCCGAATGAACTTTTTTAACAATCTAAACGGACTAATGGGATTAGTGTCTCATCAAGGCCTGATGTTAAGTACTTGTAGCCATCACAATCGCCACCCAACTTAAGACATAAGGGCGAAATTTCGACCCTTGGAACTGGCTGCTTTGTGGCAGAAATAGGCAGGGTGGTGGAGCCTCATCCGAGCTTATAACACATCTTACTAATAATTTAACGAAGGCGTATCCAATTAAGCTTTGAATTCTTGTCATAAGGTACGCATTCTGCCTCAAGCATACGAATCTAAATCAAAACACACAAACTTTTGAATCTATTATACTCGACGTATCGAATATTGATTTCGTTCCAATATGTTTACAGCTTTCTTCGATCACATTTGAATATTGTGCTGATTATCATTAAAAACGCGAAATCAAAAGCGGCGAGAGGACTTTTGATCGTAAGAGAGCATTTGGATTCGTCTAGTGAATGTTAAGACGTCAAGATCCTGACCCAGACAAAAGGTCACAAGCAATGATAATTACTACTTAAAATAATACATTTAAAAGGCTGTCCTGGTAATGCGACATATTGATTTTGCAACGCCTTTTTGTCATGTTATTTGCGCAGCTGATAATCTTCAGATGCAGTGAGTTACAACAATGACAAATTTACCCTAATACCGCGGTTACTAACTGTTTAACGTAAATTGTTTTTAATTATATATTGTACTTTTGTTTTAAATTATAAATAGTAGATTCTGCTCTGAGGCTTTTTTAAATTTTTTTTTAATTGTTTAGATGGGTAGACGAGCTCACGGTCTACCTGGTGTAAGGCTTACCGGAACTTAAGAACCTATCTTGAGACATGAGTTCTAAGGTCCCAATTTTTACAGTACAACGGCTACCCTACCCTATAAACCAAAACGCATTACTGATTCACCGCAAAAATAGACAGAGGGTGGTGGTGTACGTGCGGACTCACAAGACGCCCTACCACCAGTAATTACGAAAATTTTAACTTTGTGGATTGGATTTTTATTACACGATGCTATTCCTTCACCGTGGACGTTAATCGTAAGCATTTTGTTAATCATAAACATTATGTACGTATTTTATTAGAAAAATTGGTACCTACCTGCGGGATTCGAACATCGTTGCATCGGTTGATATTAATGAACCGGATTTCTTATCATTTAGGCCCCTACGACTTCAAAACCACTAATAAGTATTATTAGCTTTGTTTGTTTAATCAATTTTCAAACTGCTATCTCAAATTAAACATTTCAATTGATTGGGAGGAAGAATAGGACATACTTATTCTTTAACTACCGACCGACATTGTTGTTGCAACTAATATATCCAAGCGTATATAATGTTAAGCTATTCTGATAACCACAAAATTCAAATGTCGATGAGTAACAACACAGCTAGTCCATCCCTCCGTGACCACGAAAACTGTAAAGCATTCAGAACGTCCGAAATATAATAAGTACAATTAAAAATAAACCTACACTTTTAATTATGTCGAAAACCAAAGATGATCTATGATCCATAAAGACTAAAAAAAAAATGTTCTCCAGTCTTATTAGAAACACGTTTCAATGTTACTTGCCAACAAAAGGTAGAGAAGTGAGAATGCCCTTTTGGGCGACAGTCAAGTGGAGGTCGCAGGCCGCTGTCACTACCAGGGTGAATCCAAAAAGATCCATGCCGATCCCCAGGAGTATCAGCGAGCTGGTCAACACCAGGAGCACGTTGTAAGTGCCGTTACCTGAGGATTTCGGATTAATTTATTGGTGGTAGGACCTCTTGTGAGTCCGCGCGGGTAGGTACCACCGCCCTGCCTATTTCTGCCGTGAAGCAGCAATGCGTTTCGGCTTGAAGGTTGGGGCAGCCGTTGTAACTATACTGAGATCTTAGAACTTATATCTCAAGGCGGGTGGCGCATGTACGTTGTAGATGTCTATGGGCTCCAGTAATCACTTAACACCAGGTGGGCTGTGAGCTCGTCCACCCATCTAAGCAATAGAAAATAATAATAATAATAATGGTCATTGGGCTTCGCTAAATGAATCCGCACGAAGATATCGGATGCCGTAAAATTATCTGAGGATTTCGTGTGTTACTTATATGGAAGTGGTATATACACTTTTTAGAAAACATTTTAATAACTCGATTATAGATAATGATTTTTTTGCAAATTATTTGCACACGTCAAGAACCGATGACAAATCATTACTTTAATCGCTTTGTTCTATTCATATGCTGACTATTCATATTTTAACTAATAAAAAAAGACTTACTTTAATTTCTAGTTCGGTTTACTATTAAAGTATTTTATTGTAGCTTTTAAAGTAATCTTAATAAGTGACATTATTGATTTTATGTTCGAATAGACAAATTAAATTAAGCTTTCAAGTCTATCTAATTACGCAAAAAGCTTGCTAAAGTCTTCTGCAATGTCGTCATTTAAGACAGCGACGGTGATAGCTTTAGCCCCTTCTCTCCATTTCCCTTAATTTCCAAAAGCCTTCCTTGTTTCGGGAAGGACAAGCTTCTGAAATAAGCCTACGAAAGTACACCAAAACCAAATACAAATTCTACGAATAAAAACTAAAAAACAATACCAGTTTTGTTAAGAGCTTCTTCGAATGCCACTGACCCATCGTCAGCGGCTGAACTTTCAGACATTTTCACTAACTATTTCAATGGAACACGCGATACGTCTGACTACAACATTCCCGCACGAAAATTTAAATCAATGCGCAGAACTATTGTATTCGAAGTTAAATGAAACGCGCCGCGCGTTCATTGAGCGGCGAAAACGCGGCGTTTTAAAGACGCGCGTTTTTACACTTAGACGATCCGGTTATTTTTATAGATGTGGCATTTCAACGATGGTAGCGGCTTGGCTAACGGTAGGCAGCGGCTTGGCTCTGCCCCTGGCATTGCTGAAGTCCATGGGCGACGGTAACCAGTCACCATCAGGTGGGCCGAATGCTCGTCTGCCTACAAGGGCAATAAAAAAAGAAGAAAAAAAATGCAGTATTGTGTGCTCCAGAAGCGTTTTAGCGTGAGCTTCTCTGCTTCCGAAGCAGTCGAACGTGGAGCACTAATGGGTCGTGAAGATAAGGATGCATCACGCAGATTACAAACATCCGTTGAATGTGATCAATCAATTGCCTAACCCTTCATTTGTGGCATGAGGTTTTATACGCCTCGTGCGTATTTCCCTTGCGGTGGAGTAAGAAAGTACTAGACTTCTCGGTCATATGGCCGTGACTTAAATTTGATTTAGAGTAGGCACGAGTAAATTGAATATATAGGAATTTAACACGTTCGCGTGAGCAACCTCATTTCTGAATATATACTAGTACTATGACGCACCTTTTTCCCATACAAAGTTTAGTAACGTCTAAAAATGTCCCACCATAATACTCGCCATAATCTTATAATGATTTTTTGTTTAAGGAACGCGGCGGTGTAGGCTATGAAAATCGAATGTGTTGCGGCGCTATGTAGATGCATCATAGGAATTTGCCCATAAAAGAGACGTCCAAAGACGTTCCGACAAAATAAATATGATAATCTAGTGGCCGTCATATGACGTTGCGCCATTTTATAATTTAAAAACATGACGTTGTAAGACGTTGCTCACGCGAATATGTTAAGATGTTTTGTTAAAATATATTGCCCGCTGTGGACGTGTTAAAAAAATCCCACAATATGTTCAGAACCTACATATACATAGGTTTAAGAAGACTATTAAAGAACATCCGTGCAATAAAGCTTACTATAAAGTCAATGATTATCTAGAAGATTGCACAAAGTGGGAATGAGTTGCTCGCTCCGGGCATTTCAATATTGCAATAAATGTTACGTTATAATACTCATTGTAAAAATGAATATTAAAAAAAAAATCTAATTTTAAAAAGAAAAAAGGCATGCCCGCTGAGTTTCTTGCCAGTTCTTCCCAGGACGGAGGCTAGTTTTTGTGAATTGGCGGTAGTTCTTTTTGACGTTCAACAAGTATGTACTTTCATTTATGTTGAACAAAAAATTTTTGATTTGATTAGATTTGATTTAAAATACGATGGTACTTTAATAGCTACCAGTCGTCAAGGTACAGGATATTGAGAGATTGCGGTAAACCAATAAAATGAGGAGAATACTCTGACGGATTGATGATGGCAGTAACCGCGTTTCACTCGTAATCGTTTTTCAAAAGCGGCGTCTAAAAACGTCTCGTTGTGCGTTGAACTTTACACTATTCAGTCGTCAGAGAAAATTATTTCTGTATTAACGTTGTCCATTGAAGACATACTCGTAACAAATGCTTCCAAACCGGCAATGGATTGTGAACTTCGCCAAAATATTTTTGGCGAAATACCAAGTACATACGTAAATGTAACTAAATGTAACGTTTTTTACTGGTGGTAGGACCTCTTATGAGTCCGCGCAGGTAGGTACCACCACCCCACCTATTTCAGCCGTGAAGCAGTAATGCGTTTCGGTTTGAAGGTTGGGGCAGCCGTTATAACTATACTGAGACCTTAGAACTTATACCTCAAGGTGGGTGGCGGCATTTACATTGTAGATGTCTATGGGTTCCGGTAACCACTGAGCATCAGGTGGGCCGTGAGCTCGTCCAACCATCCAAGCAACAAAAAAAAAAATTACATGAAAATCTTATTTTGGTCGTTATAATAATTTTGCGTGTTTTGAAGAGAGCCCCCCTAACAGTTCGCCTCCAAGAACGCGTGAACGCAATGGCGGAATATCTCACGGCTCTCATGACTATACATTATAATATGTTTGTATATTATACTTCACAGGAGAGCCAAGTTTAAAATTAGGAAAAAATATCAAAATTAGGAAAGAATACCAAAAAACAAAACTTCTTCAGTTGAATGGAGTAAACTTAACTGAGATTCAATAAAAAAATCCAACTGTTGATGCTATTACTACCTATTATAAAACAAAGTCGCTTTCTCTGTCCCTATATCTGTCTGTCCCTATGTATGCTTAAATCTTTAAAACTACGCAACGGATTTTGATGCAGTTTTTTTTAATAGATAGAGTGATTGAAGAGGAAGGTTTATAAGTGTAATAACATCCATTAAATAGTGGAGAAATCAATAATAAATTACAGTTTCCGAAGCGAAGCGAGGGCGGGTCGCTAGTACCAAATAAAACGGACCTTTAGTTTACCAAGATAAATGTCGTGTATTAAACCAAATGTCACTTAAAACAAATAGCCTTTCACGCCTCTATTTAGATAAATTATTAAATACATATTATTATTATCATTATTACTATTAAATTAGGTAAAAAGCAATAAGTGCAAGTGTGTGTATGCAAGTACGGGTTCTCATAATCAAATTTCATTAACTAGCTGTGGTCCCTCAGTAGTTGAAATTCGATTATAATTAATTGAAATGATAAGTTTGAACATTATTATAGTTCTATTCTCAAAGACGTATATTTCTATAATCACAGATTTAGCCAAGACTACACTATATATTATACAAATAATAATATTAAAGGCAAACAATATCAATCTATTCTCAATTTGACCACAGACTTTAAACAATAACATAAGTTTGGCATTAAAAAAGAGTATATACCTACATATATTTATATATGTGTTGTGTCAAATGTATACACAGTAGTGTGTGTAGCGTTATTTTTATTGTTTTAATGTATTTTTTATGCATAATTAAAAAAAAGCTACATTCTGCACTCCTCATTGTTCTCTATAAGTGTGGAAAATTTCATACTCCTCCGTCCGCGCAATTTTCGTAAAAAGGGGTACAAAAATTTTGCTTTACGTTTTGCTTATGTTTTTCTCTCACTAATTAAAACGTATTGTTGAAGCAATATCTACTTAATTAATTCAATAATTGTAAATTCATTCAATGTGACTGCCAGCGTGAATAAAGAATGGGAACTGGTTGGGGATTATAATTGAACGTGGGAAATATTTTAATAAATTGCTTTGATAAATTATGTAAAATACGAGCATTTTGTTCTAGAAGATCTATTTCGGAAGATCTGGAAGTTCTATTTCGGCAAGAAAGCCTAATTCTTTGGTGGCCCATAAATAGACGACCCACCCTTTCAACCAGGCATTGAAACTCGTCTACCTACTCATCGGAAACTATAAAGGTTAAAATTCAAGATATTCTCGAGGACACTCGAGGCTATCCTGTGTGCCTTCTAGAAATAATAGAGCAAATAACAGTAACTCATTTGATGGGGTTGATGCTTCCCGCTTCCGTAGGTTTAACCCGCGATTCCCTACAAGTAACCCCTGGGTGGTGCTAAACGGGAGCCGAAAACACAATCGGTGGTAGGACCTAGTCCGACTGGCTGGCGACCACCCTCCAACTAGAGTCTGCCGCCAAATAGCCTAGCTGTGTTCCGGCATGTGGGTTGGAGAGCCAGTTCTATTCCTTTCCTTTCNAAAAAAAAAAAAAAAACTCAACATTGCGATAACAAACCTGACAGAAATTAATCCAAAATTTTCTTGTGCTAATATTAGGGGCACACAACGTTTCCTATATTACGTATTTCTATATTACGTATATTATCGTTACGCCGGTAAAAGCAACGCCATCTATCGTCGAATATCAGAAACGAACATTAAAAGAACTTGTAAAATCCATATCTCTCGAAAAGTACGACGCCATCTTATAGCACTACACTTATAAGACTTACAGAGCACCTTACATTTCGTAATTCGCTTCTTCCGCTTTGCTTCAGCGGATCCGTCCGATCCGTGTTTCTTTTTTTTATTTTTTTTTCATGCCCTTGTAGGCAGACGAGCATACGGCCCACCTGATGGTGAGTGGTTACCGTCGCCCATGGACTTCAGCAATGCCAGGGGCAGAGCCAAGTCGCTGCCTACCGCGAATAGTTCCGATTACTAACTGCCTTCATGTCTTCTCTGCAACGCTTTTATAGTCGATACGACATCCCTAGAATTATCGAGAACATTTCTGACAGGTCGAATAGTTTCGATATGTATTTCCGCTATTTGATAAAAGATGGCGTTGTACTTCTCGAGCGTTCTCGATTTTACTAGTTCTTTCGTTTCTGCTATTCGTCGATAGATGGAATCACTCTTACCAGCGTAACATTTTGTTGAAGAATATACCCCAAAATACAAATAATAGTCGTCATGATCATTACCTTTTTTTTTATTGCTTAGATAGGTGGACGAGCTCACAGCCCACTTGGTGTCAAGTGGTTACTGGAGCCCATAGACATCTACAACGTAAATGTGCCAGCCACCTTGAGATATAAGTTCTAAGGTCTCAAGTATAGTTACAACGACTGCCCCACCCTTCAAACCGAAACGCATTACTGCTTCACGGAGGAAATAGGCGGGGTGGTGGTACCCACCCGCGCGGACTCACAAGAGGTCCTACAACCAGCAAACCTACGTTTTTTCGTTTAAAAGTCATTGCTAAGAAAAGAAAGGATCTTATTTTAATTTGGAATACGGTACAATATCCTACGAATGTTGCGCGCAAGTAGTATTCCTATGATAGCTTTAAGTCTCTTAAGGATACATGCTTTTCCACAAACGCAAAGGGAAGATCTTCAAATGAACGTTAGCTCGGCAGACTGTGACAAGCGTGTGAGCAAGATATCCTTGAAATTGGACGCGATTTGCCTGGTGATCAAGATTTATTTGGTACATTAATATATGTATATCTCCTGTTGTTCCAAGCAGCATTGAC